TACTGTCTCATTCTGGAACCTTTGGTAATCGATTACCTCAAGTAACTGTCTAATTCAAGGTTGTAATTGCCTTATGCAACGATGTAACTATCCTAGGCGTGGCTGTAACCGTTGTTCCTACTTTGAAGGGTGGAACTCATGGCCAACATTACTTCTGAACAACCATCCACAACCTGTAAGATGCACTTGCCGGTGACTTATCTTGCACAGTTGGCTCGCTCAGTGGTGGGACAACATTGGAGGTATCATTGTTAGACATAGACTCTGAACAGTGCTCTTGGTTATGGCCATAACATCCACACATAAAGCATATAAGATATAAGCCTTCATATTCAACGTGCTTCGTTTTCCCTTTTAGCCCTTATAATGCTTTTAAGGGTTGAGCCAAATAAATCAGCGTGTATCTTCCTTTGGTTTGTTCCACGGTGGTTTGGCCAAGTTTCTCACCCATCTGCTCTAGGAAAAACGACCTTCATAGGTGATACCAAAAGCGCATAGAAAAGGTGGCTAAACAAAAAGTTGAGATTTTATAAAAGATAAACAAAAGAGTAACCCTCCAGTTCTCAATATCTAATTAACAAAATAATAAAATTTCACTCCTACAATAAGGGGCGTTTGGTGGAAGTTTTTTTAGGATTCCCGCAAGGAAAATTTTAACACAACTAAATATAGAATCAAATAAAATTAAACCAACATTCCCTGGAATATTTTAGCCTACCAAATAACTTTTTGATAATATTCCTGAAAAATTTATTTTTCCCACCAGATTCCTAGAAATCGTGATTCTCGGATTAATTTGTTTTTCTCTACTAAGCGCACCCTAAGGGTCTTAAGCACCCTTTTATAGACTAATTACAAATTGATCAAAAATTTAAAATGTAAAATCGTAAAAATAAGAAAAATTCCTAAAAGTAAATATAACGATAATTAACTTCTAAAAATAAATAAATAATTACAATAAAATTATTCAAAACACATCCCAAATCTTAGATATCAAATCATTACAAATGTGTTGCTTTACTTTTCTTGCCAAACAAATCACCATCATGTCTACTACTTTTTTGGGACTTAGGTTTGACCGTAATTTGTTATATTTCAAATTGATGCTTCTTTCAACAATTGGGTCATAACTCTGGTTTGGACTTTTTGAATCATTGGTTGGGTCATGTGCAATGGACCAACTGTAAGTGTATTTTCTCCCATGCTAGAAAAAGATTCATCATCAAATCTTCTTTCTCTATTAGATCTTCAACATCATATTCTCTATCAGATTTATCACAAACTAGATTATCATCATAAATTGAATTTTCATCATAAGATGGATAATCATTACAAATGGGATAATCATCATTAATCGAATAATCATCATAAACTGTGTTATGATCGTAGACATCTAAGTCAAGAATGTTGATTTGCATCTCGATATCTTAAAAAATGAATTGAATTTCAGGTCATACTTCCCAATTCTATCCCTGTTTTAGAATCTCCAAGGGATTGACATCCTCTACTTCATCATCAAATGTGTCCTCTAATTCTGCTTTTTCTTTGGATTGAATTTTCAACTTTGTCCACGCAAGTAGGCACACCAAATGTTGGATTTTCATGCTTTGCGCCTCCACAAGTTGTCGCTTCAACATTTGGATTTTCTCGGCATGGGCCCTCACGAGTTGTCGTTCCAAATCTTGAATTTTCTTGCTATGTGCCCACATAAGTAGTCGCTCTAAAAATTGGATTTTCATGCTCTGTGCCTACACAAGTTGTCGCTTCAAATCCTGGATCCGCTTCCGAGCTTTTCATTTTCTATGTCACGCTGGTCTATCTGACACAATTGTCTGTCTTATTTAGGAACGAATCCACATCCTTTGCCTTTACAACTTCGCCATCAATGAGATCTATGATTCTGTTCAGCCATTGGTTGAAGGCGACCTCTTGCTCTGATACCAAGTGACGCCGAAAGCGTATAAAAAAGGTAGCTAAATAGAAAGTTGAGATTTCACAAAAGATTAACCAATAATGCTGAAGTAGTACCTCATTGGCTAAATAGAAAGAAAGATTGAAAACAAAGATTGTGAGAAAATACTATTTCTTTTTTCTGAATTTTATTATCCAAAAACAACCAAATGAGATTAGGGTTCTCCGAGTCTTAAATAGGCAAAACAAAATAACAAAAAGACAAATAATTATAATCACGCACAATCAAAGGATATAACGTACAATTAACACATACTCTAACATAACCTAAGAATAACAAAATGGGAATTAATTAACAATTATTGAAAAGCCTTAAATTGAGGAATAAAATATAAAAGGCCCAAAACTGTTTTAATGCCCATGGCAATGCGACGAGTCTTGCTTAGAAGCCCATTTTGAGTTGGCTATCCAATTTTGAGCCTAATCCAAATCAATCAGCTTTGGTGCACAATATGATTCCATGAGATGTCTTATAATTTGATCAATGTAGCTATCTTCCTAAACGTATCCTTATAAGGTTTGAAATTTGATTTCTGCCTTATCGTTAGGTAATGACTTAGTATAATCTTATGGGCCACCATTTAGTGCCACCGCAAGGTCTTCTTTTGATGGGAATTGGACTCTGAAGTATTCATTACTAATGTTTAACTTCATAATTGAGCCTCTCTATGCCGAGAATGCTTTAAGTTTCTTGTTCATACATGATATTCCTATTTTCTTGCCAATAAGTTTCACTATTAGTGCAGATCTCTGAGACTTTCAGATCTTTGTCACATTCTTGGTGTGAAAGAAAGTGTAATGGCCCAACTTCCACCATTATACATTTTATCCCCTACTCAATGGCCTCTTCCCCCAACATTGGGTACCGACACTTCATAAATTCTTACATTTCGTGTCCGACACTTCTCAACACTCCCCGACACTCCAACACGCGTTATAGAAATTCAAAAAAAGGGTTTATAGATTGCGTTGCATTGCATTTTTAGTTTCCAACTATTAAATTTTTTGAATTACGATTACTATTTTATTGAGTTTAATATAAATATTTGGGATATCTTATATTTCTTTGCAAAATTTATTGTATTATAAGTTTAATTTTATTTTTTTTGAATTATTAAATATTAAATATAATATATACTACATAAGTTAAAAAATTATTTAATATCAAAATATATCTTATATATCAAAATTTAACAATTTTTAAAGATAATTATATCATATTTTATATCCTATATCGATATCGGTGCAACACGATAGAGAATGTTCACCATTGTGTTCTATTAACATTTCAAATCACATCTTCTATTTCTATTTGGTACAGTCTTCCATTTAGAGGTGGCAAAACGGGCCAACCCGCCCCGACCCGCCTTCAACCCGCCAAAAGCGGGGTGGGGCAGGTTGACCCGCCGTTTGTGGTGGGTTGGAAACATCAACCCACCCCGTTTTAAGGTGAGTTGACGGGTTGGCGGGTCAACCCACTTAAAAAATAAAAAATAATTAAAAAATAATAATAAATTATATTATATTAATTTTATAATATTATTTATTTTTATTTCACATTTTCCTTAATTTTTTAAATCTCAAGCCTAAATATACGCTAATATTCAGTCAGATATTTTTTTAAAACTTAATTTTGTCTCTATATATGGATAATCTTTGTCATAAGTAAAGTTTTTGTTCTTTATTTTTCTAGGAGAGTACTAATATAAATAAAAAAATGTATATCACAAAAGCTTAGTGAGAAATAAAATACTACCCAACAGTAAAAAAAAAAAAAACTAACCCGCGGGCCAACCCGACCCGACCCGCCACTAACCCATTTTAACCCACTACTAAACGGGGTGGGTTGAGGTGAGTTGGTGGGTTAAAAAATGTAACCCAACCCATCCTGTTTTAGCGGGTTGACGGATTGACCCGTCGAATTCAACCCATATTACCCCCTCTTTCATCCAGGATTCGACGAGTGGCGTTAGAGAGAAAGAATTGGAGAAGTGCTCTTTTCCCCTTTACTCCAATGATCCTCCGTTGATGCATCGTTCTAGGTATTTCTCTATTACAAATAAAAAATAAATGAAACTCATGTGCTATTAATTATAAAAGAGTAAATAAAATGAATGAATTATTTTTTTCTTTAATAAATAATCGAGTCAGAACCACTATAACTATAACATTTTTATATCCTTATTTTAATTAAGTGGTTATCTAATATTTTGTCTCAATTTTATACATAACATAAATAAATAAAATAGCACTTTGAGAATTAAGTTACTAACTACTTTTAAAATTTAGTCTTATATATGCACTATTGTTTATAAAATTGTTTGGAATCCATTCTCTATCATTTCATATTTATTTATACAATTTAAATTTTTCTTAGAAGAATCCATTAAAAGCGATATAAAAATAATAATTCTTCTTTCAAATTTAATCATTATAATTTATTTTTCTCTATTTATTTTCGTGAATGTATCAATTATAATTTATCGGATCATACTTATTAATTAATTATTAATTACAAATAAATTATAATCGTTAAATTTACAAAAATTAACAATTAAAATTTAGTGTAAGACTTATTATTCTTACACCAATAAGTTGACTCTATCCCCATAATATATATATATATATATATATATATATATATATATATATATATATATATATATTGTAACAAACAAATAATGTTACTATCATATCTTAACCGTTGATTTTCGTCAATTAACAGTTATCATTATTACAAATTAATAATTAATTGATGAATTTTATAGGGATAAGATATTGTTTTTTTTTTTGAAACAAAACATTGAAATATTAGTTTAACAAAAATTAACTTCTCAATGTTAAGTTAGAAAATAAAAAAAAAAGAAAAAAGAAAAAAGAATCACATGTAGGAATTAATTTTTAACCAAACACCTTTTCAACCTCAAAAGCAAAGAGACAATTTGTTTTTAATAATTTCTTCAAAAAATCATTTTTTTTATTTTTTGTTTTGAGTTTATCCATTTGATTCTTTGCAAACGAATGGCTGCAGGGAACCGAGCATGCCACTAGTCCCCTTTGTTCAACTTATTCGGAGGTACCTCTTTGAAGGTAAGAACCCATCTATGTTGTTTCCTCAATTCTTCATATGACTTGAGAATCACTTTTATTTCTAGTTATTTTAAGTGGGTTTTTTCTGTTTGCTTGTATATTTCTCAGAATGATTCACACTTTAAGCACTTTCCCCTTCAAAGGTAACCAGTTGGTGGTGCCTCCTGTTCCTGTGGGCTTTGAAATAGGTTCTTCTTGTGTTCCTGATCTCAATAGGAGAAGGAGGATGAAGCTTGGTTTTGTTTTTTCGATTTCTCATAGTACAAGTGTTGGTGTTTTTCAATGCTCAAGAAGTTCAAGAGGTTACGGGAATGTTATCTGTTCTGGAACCCCAAATTTTGATTTGAGATGTGGGTTTTTGTTAGGGTATTCTGAACTCAAATTTGTTACCTTTTTTAAACCAAACAAGAGTCATGTTGGAGATTTGGTTCCCCCCTTGGGATGGGCATTGGAGGAGCAAGAAGCTATTGGGGATGAAGTGGTAGAGGAGAAGGCTGATTCTACTGACAACACATCAATTAATGGTGAGTTAGAGGGCATGAGTTCTTTGAATTTGGATCAAGTCCAAGACAGTTACTCTGAACATAAAATGCTTGGTGATGATGATAACAGAAAGGAAGATGAGGAAGAAGAATACAGCAGTAAGCTTGATGTTCGAGCACTTGCCATGAGTTTGCAGACTGCTAAGACAGTGGAGGACGTGGAGGAGATTCTTAAGGACAAAGGGAACTTACCCCTTCAGGTGTATTCATCCGTAATTAAAGGTTTTGGTAAAGACAAGAGAATGGATTCTGCATTGATTCTTTTTGATTGGATGAAGAAGAGGAAGATAGAAACTAATGGCTCTTTTGGCCCTAACCTTTTCATATATAACGGTCTATTAGGAGTAGTTAAACAATCTGAACAATTTGCAGAAACGGAAGCCATTCTGAATGAAATGGCTCAAGATGGAATCACCTATAATGTTGTGACATTTAATACCTTGATGGCAATTTATGTTGAGAAAGGAGAAGCTGACAAAGCTCTTAATATGCTTGATGAAATCCATAGAAATGGCCTTACCCCATCTCCGGTATCCTATTCTCAAGCCTTGTTGGCATATCGGAGAATGAGAGATGGTTATGGAGCTCTAAATTTCTTTGTGAATTTAAGAGAAAAATATCGTCAAGGAAAAATGGGAAAAGATGGTGATGGAGAAGATTGGGAGAAAGAGTTCATAAAGCTTGAGAAGTTTACAATCCGTATTTGCTATCAGGTACTGCGCTGTTGGCTTATCAGTCGTGATAACTTAAGCAACAATGTTTTAAAGTTTCTTGTTGATATGGATAATGCTGGGATTCCGTTGAGGCATGCTGAACTTGAGCGCCTTGTGTGGGCTTGTACCCGTGAAGATCACTACAGTGTTGCAAAAGAGCTGTACAGCCGGATAAGAGAAAGGTATGATAAGATCAGCTTGTCTGTTTGCAACCATGTGATTTGGTTGATGGGGAAAGCCAAGAAGTGGTGGGCAGCTTTGGAGATATATGAAGATTTATTGGACAAAGGGCCAAAGCCAAATAACTTGTCACATGAACTGATAATGTCCCACTTTGGCTTTCTTCTCAGTGCAGCCAAGAGAAAAGGAATTTGGAGATGGGGTGTCAGGTTGTTAAATAAGATGGAAGATAAAGGCCTAAAACCTGGAAGTAAGGAATGGAACGCAGTTCTCGTGGCCTGTTCTAAGGCTTCGGAAACTACTGCAGCTGTGCAAATATTTAAGAGAATGGTGGAAAATGGTGAAAAACCTAATGTAATTTCATATGGGGCTTTATTGAGTGCTCTTGAAAAGGGAAAACTCTACGACGACGCCCTCCGAGTTTGGGACCATATGGTCAAGGTTGGGGTGGAACCAAATATATATGCCTACACAACTTTGGCTTCAATACATACTGCACAAGGAAATTTTAGTAGAGTTGATGCCATCATTCAGGAGATGGTATCCTTAGGAATTGAGATAACAGTAGTGACTTATAATGCAATAATTAGTGGTTGTGCGCGGAATGGTATGAGCAGTGCAGCATATGAATGGTTTCACAGAATGAAAGTTCAGAACATCTCTCCCAATGAGATAACTTATGAAATGCTGATTGAGGCCCTTACAAATGATGGAAAGCCAATGCTAGCATATGAGTTATATTTGAGAGCTCGGAATGAGGGCCTTATCCTCTCTTCAAAAGCTTATGATGGTGTTGTGCAATCCTCACATGCTAATGGTGCAACCATTGATTTAGGTGTTTTGGGACCTCGTCCTGCAGATAAAAAGAAGAAAGTGCAAATTAGAAAAACATTGACTGAATTCTACAACTTAGCTGATGTTCCCAGGGGAACTGAACCATTTGATAGAAGGGAAATTTATTACTCAAAGACACGAGAAAGTCAATAGGTAATTTAATACATTGAAATTAGCTTAGTCAAATATTTTGTAACATCTGTACATTCTGCTCTGCTGTAGCTTGATCTTTTTGTGTCCGTAGCCCAAGAAGGTAAAAGAATAGCAGTCATGTTTTCTTCCACTTCTGTAAGCAAAATACAGATGTAACACTTTCTGCGGAACTATTGTTGAAATTATGGCTCAAATATTTGAAAGGATATAGAAGTTTGTTTCTTTTAAGAAATTTTTGTTTTTCCCTGAGTGTTTTCTCTTAACTGTGCATTATATTTAAAACAATTGTTTAAAAGAGATGTCAAAGTTTACTATCCTCAAGTAGGACAGTTGTCTTACGTCTATTTGTATTTTGTAATAATAAGATGATAATTGAAAGAAAAATTTATTAATTGCCGTCATCAAAGAAGTTTTTGCCCAATGTTTTGATTTCTCACTGCTGCAGTCAGAAATGAGGTCATTTTTTCTGTTTCCGGTCAATCAGCTTACATTGTAAGATTAAAAACTTTTATACTTGAATTTAGCTGTTGATCTACATGCATCCGACGATGGTAATATATATTCATTAATTAATTATTAATTCTCAATAAATTACAGTATTTAGATGTACATAGATCAATGACCAAAATTGAGTATAACATATCTTGTTCTCCAAGGGTAAAGGTTGATTTGCCTCTCTCTCTCTCTCTCTCTCTCTCTATATATATATATATATATATCAGTTCAATCTTCTGCATCTGTCTCCATTTATAGCTACTGGTATCCTTCTCTAATCTTGCTATAGCTGATTGTTTCCGTTGAATTGTTCTCAAATCTGCTTCAAATCTCCTGCTGTATACAAATTGCTTTCGTTCTATTCTGAATGAATTTTAATTTTTTGTTGTTGTGTATTTTGTATAAAGGAGCGAATCGGAGAATTGGTAAATCTGTAAAGTCATGGATTTGAATTAAGAAAACAGTCTCTTTGTAATTATGTAAGGGTAAGGCTTCGTACAAGGATTGCCTCCATCCGCACTTGTTAGTCGGGTTTAACAGAGAGTGATTTTTTTTTGTATAGTGTCCTTGGTAACGATGGAGTTCAAAATTGATGAATTATATCTCGATTTTCATGTTCTAAGTGCTGCAAATCCATGTATGAGTCGGATATAGTATCATTTTTCATACATATTATGTCTCTTTCTGTTAAAACATATTTGTGAAACCCTCTTCCTTGCCATTTTCACTTATGGTATGGGTTATTCACTTGGGATCTTGAATTTTATTTCTATTAAGTTGCTTCTTTGGTGGTACTGATTATTGGTACAACCAGAAGGTGTTGTAGCAAATTTGAAGCCAAATTGGTAATGTTTACTCTAAATGTAAGCTTTTACTGAATACTAAATCTTGTTGTATAAAATATTTACCTGTCATTTTCCTTCTCCTTTTAAAACCATATGATTTCTAAATCGTTTAATGTAGTTGCATTAGGTGATTGCAATCTGTGAACATGGTTTATAGCAAGATGGACTCTAGATGGTTATGGTAGAAATTCTGTCACCAATAAGTTTAGAGCTGTTAAAAATACTTAGTTGAAACCTTAGAAAATTTAGACTGGAGGGAAGTTTATATATTTGAAACATGGAGAATTCATAGATAGAGATTACCATGGAATGGAATAAAGGAGCATAGCTTTATGGTGAACTTGGTTTTAATGCTTGAGGAATGTTTCTAATGCTTGCAAAAATTCTCAAGGTATGATTAACCCCTACATACTACTACTTTATTTAGGTTATTTGACCATTTTGTCCCTCATTAATTAATTAATAACCATTTTGTCCCTGATTCGAAACTATCTATCAATCTGCCCCTCTTTAATCGACTAACTTGAATTTTTAATCGACTAAATGGTTGTTGGGAGATTTAGTCGACTAAATCTCCCTACTTAATCGATTAAAAAATCATACTGACTTGTTTTCCTTTGTTGTCTGTTGGGAGATTTAGCCGACTACATAGGGAGATTTAGTAAACTAAATCTCCCAGAAGCCATTTTTGCCTGTTTTGACTATTTAATCGACTAAAAATGCAAGGTAGTCGATTAAAGAGGAGCAGATTGGTAGATAGTTTCGAATCAGGGACAAAATAGTTATTAATTAATTAATAAGGAGCAAAAGGGTGAAAAAGCCACTTTATTTATCATTAAATTATCACATTTTGAATGACTTTAAATGAAGCATAAAGCTAATCCAATCACAACTAGAATTTAAACGAAGCATCAAGCTAGAGGATTAGGAAAGTGTCACAACTCAACTAATTCTTTTCAACAAATTATACTATTGATATTTATTTTGCGAAGTAATGCAAAATCAATAATTAAAAAAAATAAAAAATATATAATTTTTTGGAAAAAATTCAAATCATTAATTGTAATTTGAGATCCTAATAAAGTTCACAAGAATAATAAATTGTTGAAGCTCAGTTAATTCCTTTTATTGTTGATTTTTTTTTCATTCTTTTGTTTTTAGTGAGAGATCAATAGTAAAAGGACCACATTTATACAATTAAAACAAACTTGCATGATCAACAAGAAGGTAAATAACCCGAGTCAATCAGTTAGATAAATAATTAAACTCGCCAACTATTAATTCAACAAGAAAAACTCAAAAGTGTTTTATTTATTTTATCATATTATTTATATTGTTTACTTATTCCACTTTTTGTATTTTTTTTTGAGAAAACAATTATTATTTCCAAAATTTCTTTTCTCCACAACTCTCCCCAATCCAATTGAACCTGTTTTTCCAATTTATGATCGTTGTTATTTAATCAGACCCTTTGACGAACTTCAAACTTACCTATCCCAATTTTACTTTATTATTTTTCTGCATTATTTTATTATAGTGAAAAAAACTATACCATTGTTGAGGTGCTACCTACTCCATTCTGTTTATCTTTGCTTTGCATAGCAAATATGGATTGAACAAGGTGGTCTACTTGGGTAGCAAAAGCACCAATGCATTGATCGTTTTGACGTGGACAAAATTAGTTGTACACAAATCTACGCAATATTTATAATTGTTTTGCGTGAATCTATTACTTCAAGAGCCTTTTACAATAATCAAGTACATTGTTATGCATTATTTTACAAGTAGCAGCTCTTAATTATTTTTGTTACATCATTTTTCGTCAATTTTTTTTATCTAATTATTGTAAAACATTTTAAATATATTTTTTAATTAAAAATATTCCATTTTAATTTTTTTTTTCTTTGAAAAGAACACAAACAAATCGTCCTAAATCTCCATAAAAATTGCTTGATCCCGGTCGGCGGTCAATGACTTTTCCAAGGGTATGTTTGGGAGTCATATTAAGAGGGAAAGGGAAAGAAGGGAAATGTTTTGCTTTGTATTTGAGTTTTAAAAAAAGATTTTATAAGAGTTATGTTGTAGGAAAAGTGATTGTGTAATGTTATTGATAAATTGTACAAAAGGAAATTGTTTCCATTAATTCTCTCTGTCGTATGAAGTGAACATGAATACAAATAAATAGGCCTATGGCCGTTCCTGATGGGTGCAACTACTTCCTAAATATATGCAACAACTAAGATGCTACTATCCTAGAATACATCAGGTAACAAATAAGCTAGGAAAAAGATATCCTAACAAACTAAGATAACAACCAATCTACAACTAATAACAATCAGATCAGATCGAATCTTCTATTCCAACACTCCCCCTCAAGTTGGAGCATGAAGATATGAAATGCCTAACTTGGGAAGGAAAGCCATAAAGGAAGCGCGTCCAAGTGCCTTTGTGAAAATATCCGCAAGTTGGAACTGAGATCGAACAAAAATAGTACGGATAGTCTTGGATAACAACCGTTCCCGGACAAAGTGGCAGTCAATTTCAATGTGTTTGGTGCGCTCATGAAACACAGGGTTGGCTGCAATGTGTAGAGCCGCTTGATTGTCACAACACAACTCCATTGGATCATCATGAAAAACATTAAGAGATGCAAGAAAGGACTTCAGCCAAACTAATTCAGCCGTGGTGGTTGCCATGGAGCGGTATTCAGCTTCTGCCGAGGAGCGTGAGATGGTGAGCTGCTTCTTTGTTTTCCATGAGATAGGTGAATTTCCAAGCATAATAAAGAACCCAAAAACTGACCTACGAGTTAAAGGACAGCTGGCCCAATCGGAGTCACAAAAAGCATGAATTTTGAGATCACTCTTGGAAGGAAGGAGAATTCCTTGGCCAGGATTCATTTTGAGGTATCGTAATACTCTGATAGCAGCTTCATAATGCACTTCCTTCGGAGCTTGCAAGAACTGGGAGAGAATATGCACGACATAGCTTAAATCAGGCCGAGTTATTGTAAGATAGACTAGCTTACCCACAATTCGTCTATAACGTCCCGGATCACCATAGGCAGGACCATCATCTAGAGCCAAACGATGATTTTGTTCAATTGGAAACTGAACTGGTTTACAATCCAACAAACCAGTTTCTTTGAGAATATCCAACGCGTATTTACGTTGACACAAGAAAATACCGTCATCATGACGAGCAACCTCAATGCCTAAAAAATATTTCAACTGGCCCAAATCCTTAATTTTGAAGCATTTGTTAAGATAAGCTTTAGCCTCTTGACATGCCTGTGAATCATTCCCTGCCAACACCAAATCGTCAACGTAGATCAAAATGGCTAAGAAACAAGGACCACGCTGCAAAGTGAATAAAGTGTGATCTGCTGCAGATTGAATAAAACCATATTGGACAAGATAAGTGCTTAGTTTTGCAAACCAATTTCTGGGAGACTGTCGCAAACCATATAAGGACTTTTGTAGGCGATAAACTTTGCTTCCTTGCCCTTGATTAAAGCCAGCTGGGATGCGCATGTACACTTCTTCATCAAGATCGCCGTTAAGGAACGCGTTATGAACATCCATTTGATGTAAATACCAACCTTTTGCTGCTGCAACCAAGAGTAAAGTTCTAACACTCACCATTTTCGCTACCGGAGCATAAGTCTCAGTGAAATCCTCGCCTGGAATTTGGTGATTGCCTGCGATTACTAATCGGGCTTTGTAACGCTCGACGCTGCCATTTGAGTGATATTTAATTTTATAGACCCATTTACATGGAAGAGCATGCTTCCCAGCTGGTAACTCGGTGATAGCTCATGTATGATTTTCTTCTAGGGCTTGGATCTCTTGTGCCATGGCCTGACGCCATTCGGCATTTGCCATAGCTTCTTTAAATGAGCGAGGTTCAGTTCCTGTGTCAATAGCAGCAACAAACATGCGATGTTTTGAAGAAAATTTGTCAGTGGTTACATAGTTTGCAATAGGGTACCGCATACCTGAGGTAGAAGTGGAAGAGGTGAGAGCAGGTGGTGGTGTATGTGTTGTGATCATATTACAGTTGTAGTCATTCAAGTATGATGGTGTCCGTCGTGTTCGTGCTGGACGATGAGACTCAGGTTGAGTTGTTTCTTCACTTCGGGGCCCCAAATCACAACTGGGCTCTTCAGTTCTATGTACTAGAGTAGGTGCTGGATCTAGATTCCCTTGCATGGGATCAGGAGGTGATGGAGAATGCTCAAGGTGCTCAGAACTGCACTCTGTTGCACCACGCGTAGAACTCCCCCTGGCGTCGGGCTGTGCTTCAAGTGCAGAACTTCGTGATGGATGATCAGGGACATGTGGGGTCACTTCATTCGAATCTTCTTGAAGAGAAGAAGGCAATAAAGGACGCGGAGTAGGTAAGTCTGCCGCAATAAATGGAAACTCCTCCTCATGAAAGCTAACATCTCGTGAAACAAAAAATTCCTTAGTATCAAGGTCATAAACCTTCCAACCTTTCTGCCCATAAGGATAACCAATAAACATGCACCTTCTAGATCTTGGGCTGAACTTGTTTGCTGGTTTCGGTTGCGTCACCACGTAACATAAGCAACCAAATACCTTTAAGTGCCCATAGTCATCAGTGTACCCATGCAGAATTTCATGCGGGGTCTTTCCATGAAGAACCTTGGTTGGAGTTCGATTAATTATGTGGGGAGCAGCTATGACACTTTCCCCCCAGAATTTAATAGGCAAGTTACCTTGAAATAAAAGTGCTCTGGACACGTTTAAAATATGCCTGTGTTTTCTTTCTACTCATCCATTTTGTTGTGGCGTATGGACACATGATTTCTGATGAAACACACCATTTTCAGTGAATAATTCAGCCATCTTATAAGAAGTAAATTCCGTGCCATTATCTGTCCGAACGGATTTAACCGTTGTATTAAACTGATTTTGCACCATTAGAAGGAATTTTCGCAGAAATAAATACGTTGCACTTTTATCATTCATTAAGCAAACCCATACAGCACGACTAAAGTCATCAACTATGGTTAAGAAGTAATAAGCACCCGAAGAAGAGGGAGTTCTATAAGGACCCCATATATCACAATGAATCAGATCAAATATTTTATTGCTTTTGCGATCACAAATAGGAAAAGAGGATCGAATTTGTTTGGCACGATAACAGACATCGCAAGCCTTTTTATTCATACTGCAAAATTGAAAACCTCCAGAAAAAGAGAGCATAGAAAGTGCTTCAGGTGATGCATGTCCCAACCGCTTGTGCCAAAGCTCTTGTGAATCAATTGAACGTGTTGTGAAGGCTGCTACTTGGCTTGGTCTCAACACATACACACCATCCTTTTGGTCACCCAATCCAATCTTCGTCCTCAGCTTGCGGTCCTGTAACACACAACAATCATGAGTAAACACCACATCAACGTTTTGTTGTTGTATCAATTGAGAAACTGATATCAGATTACACTTTAGATTAGGAACAAATAAAACGTTGGATAAAGAAAAATTGTCAAATAAAACAGATCCTTGTTGCTTTGCATAAATGACAGCTCCATTAGGTAAAGCTATTGACAAAGGCTCAATGGTCGTAATGTTTGCAAATAAGTCCAGAACTCCTGTCATGTGGCGCGATGCACCACTATCTATAAGCCAATGTGAATTTTTACCAATTAATTTTTCCTTCGATTATTGAGGCTGATCAACCAGTGTGAGTAGTTTTGTTACTACATCTGGTGTCAAAACAGGAAAAGCATTTGCTTGCTCAGATGAGTCCTCCGTTTGTGCTGCGTTTGCAGCAAAAGGCTTTGCATAGGAACCTCCTTGTGAGTTGCGCCATCCCCCTTGTGAGTTACTTCTGTAACCACCAAAGCGGCCATGACCTCGCCCCCTTCCACCGTCGCGGCTGAGAGCTTCGCGCCCCTTGCCTTCGTCACGACCAGGGAATCCGAATGCTTGCCAGCAACGCGAGGCCTCGTGATTATTTCTGCCACAATGGATACATGGAGGACGATCGGCAAACCGGTCCTTGGCTGGTGCAGGTGCTTGTACTGCATTTCCAACTTCATCATTACGAGAAGTCTGATTTCGAGTGATAGCTATGTGAGTCTCTTCCTGGGTCATAATGGCATACACCTTATTCATCGTTGGAAGAGGTGAATTGTTGAGGATTTGAGACCGCAAATTGCCATAGACATCATCAAGGCCCATAAGGAACTTGTATACCTGATCATGTTCCATTTCTTCTTCAACTGCCTTTGCATATGCGCAGTTTGCTCCACACGGACAATGTGTATAAGTTTTGCTGCTGGCGAGCTCATCCCAGACAGCGCGTAGCTGCATGTAGTATTCTGCAATGGTGGTACCTTGTTGCCTTATGGTGGCCAAACTAGCCTTGAGTTGGTATTGACGAGTAAAATTTTCGACAGCGTACCTTTCCTTCAGGTCATTCCAGAGGTCTTTTACCTCATCAAAGCACTTAATGAATGGTTGCAATTTCTGATCGATGGTATTGTGTATCCATCCGTTGATCATGGAATTACACATCTCCCAGGCGCGCCACTCCTCTGCTTGCGCCTTGTCAGGTTTCTTAATGGATCCATCAATGAATCCCAACTTGTTTTTTGATTTGAGGGCATTTTTCATGAGTTTTGCCCAGTTCTCATAATTTGCTTCCCCTCTCAACGTAACATTTGTCAAGAGAATGCCAGGATTATCTGAACCGACGAGATAGAAATGTGAACCCGGGTCTGTGGGTTTCGTTCCACTAGTGGTCATCTTCAAGTAAGACTGAAATCTGCTCACAGCTTTAGAGTTGTGCACGTCTGCGGAAGTGTTTAGGAAAGACAAGCTCTGATACCATGATAAATTGTACAAAAGGAAATTGTTTCCATTAATTCTCTTTGTCGTATGAAGTGAACATGAATACAAATAAATAGGCCTATGGCCGTTCCTGATGGGTGCAACTACTTCCTAAATATATGCAACAGCTAAGATGCTACTATCCTAGAATACATCAGGTAACAAATAAGCTAGGAAAAAGATATCCTAACAAACTAAGATAACAACCAATCTACAACTAATAACAATCAGATTAGATCGAATCTTCTATTCCAACAGTTATAGAGATTCGTTTTGCGTGTCATAGTTTTTTTTTTGCTTTAAAAAGTGTGGGTCCCACAAAATGTTATGTGTGTAGGGAAATTTTTCTGGTCATATTAAAGGACAAACTAAAACCCCAAAAAAGAGAAGGGAATGAGGGATTTTTATAAAATCCACTAATACCATTCTGACCCTAATTAGAATTCCTCTAGTTTGGGGTGTCTCAAAGGAAAAATATAGTAAATTACTTTTGTGCCTTTACTTTCTTTCTCAATTTTTTTTATTCTCTCTTTTTCTTAAAATTATTTAAATTTATGGGTTCATTTTTTCTGCAGTGACGGCAAATAAATTATCCATATTGAGCCCAAAACAACATCATTTTGGGATAGAAATCAAGATATTTTTATAATTTAATTCATTTTAGGGTTATAATAATCTTTATAATCATAATTTTTTAATCTTTTGTAACGCCCGTCCGCTTCAAAAATCAATGATTATCCCCACATACTAACACGAGACTTTTCAGTGTGCTTTTTCCTCACTCGCACAGTTCTCGAGAAAACTTCCCAGGAGGTCACTCATCGCAGAATTACTCCAAGTCAAGCACGCTTAACTGTGGAGTTCTTCCAATCCGGGATACCGAAAAGCAGATGCATCTTGTTAGCATAGATAGTACCAATTAATTCTTATAAGCTATCCCAAACTGTGCAGTCTTATACCTGCACAGCCTTTGGAATCCCTCTCTTTCGGGTGTCGATTCGATTCATTCATGCATGTAACCCCGCGCTGGAAGCCTGTCAGGAGTCGCTCCTTGTCCGTGCCTCTTTGCACCGGCGATCACTCCCCGCCCTCGTCAGCGCTCAGGATATTATATCTTTCAACCCCAAAATAATGTTTTGGGAGTAAATGCAGGTGACTTCTGTGCAGTCATTGTAAAAATATATTTTCTATAAATTTATTTGATGAAACTATTTTTTTTATCAATTGCATTATTTTGAGATAAGTGATTTACTTTTATATGTGATTTGTAATTTTTTTAATAATTTTAATTTAGTTATAATGTGAAATAGATAATTTTAGAGAGAAAAATAAATTTTAAAGAGAGAAAATAAGTTTTTAGAGGGAGAATCATTTTTTAATTGCGAAAACTACATAAATAACTTTTGTAGAAAATTTAAATTTAATTTAATTTTCAAAATATAATAATTATGTTTATTTTTTTAAGAAATGATAAAACTATAAAAATATCTTATTAACTCTTTATTTTTTATCCCTTGTCATAATTTTAACTCCCAAACAAGGGAAATATAATACCTTTCATTTTTTCTTCTCTCTTGAATCCCCTTTCTTTCACTTCCTTCCTTTTTCCTCGTTAACTCCCAAACACGTAAAAGATGCCATCGCTAAAGATAACAGACTGTATACTTTTATTTTAAGACCCGATCATCTAAAATTTGAATCTATCTCTCTTCATATCTGCATTAAATAAGTGAGATCAAATTAAAATTTGTCAACATTAATAAAAAGACCAAAAATCTCACAAAATTTTAAAATAAGAGGATCTATTCAACAGTTCAAGTAGGTTTCTCAATAAACTCATTCATCACAGGAAAAGTTGATAGGAAGACAAGGGTCCAAGACTTGGGGCTGCATTTTGCTAAAATATGCTTACATTCCTTCACATTTCAGTATCATGAACAAGTATACATGTAGAACAAATATGGTCCCAAATTAGAGTTATTATCAATTACACTTGCATTTTCTTTGAGGTGATATTTTGTTCTTTTGAGTTAAAAAAATATACATGTGTAACACGGTATTCTCATCAAGAAATTTCCAAGTCTCTTACAACATGCTCTGACCCTTGACCAGAACCATTAGTTCTTGTCCCCTTGAAAGATTTTAAACTGATCAACCGAGCAAAGGCACTCTTTGATCTGGTCATTGTTGACGTTCCATGCTTCTCAGCAAGATTATCAGATAATGTTTTTACAAGATCATCAAAGCGACGCTTGAAGGTTGGGAACCTTGTCATGGATTTGGTGATCCCTTGCAGTCTGTGAAACAGAAATGATAACAAAATAATACAAAACCTTAAAATGGATCATTGGAACAAAAATTATTGGGAATGAATACTCTCATATTAAAATTTCACAAGACTTTGTCATGTGAAGTTTGTGTCTATTTTTATCTTTATAGTCATTAAATACATATAAAGAGAGGGATAGACAGAGAATTTTTACAAAACAATATCTTGTGAAATTTTAACATAAGAGAATCCAACATACTCGGCACATTTGACCTCAGCAGGTTAACATGAAATTTTTAGTAGTTTTGATTTGATAAGTACCTCCTAGCCAATGCATCAAGTTCAGCACGTTTGACCTCAGATTCAGGTGCTGGGCCAATAATTAAATTTTTCAATCTCTCTGCATCACCACTCAAGAGAACTAATTTTGAGAGGTAGTCTTCTTCTGAGGCAGAAAGATTTTCAGCTTTGATTTGTTCTTTTATGATCAAAAGGGGATTAAGGAACCATTCAAAAAATTTATCCCTTGGTCTGTTTGTGGTAGTTAGTTCGGTTTCATCACCTGCATTGAGGATGTAACCAAAATGGTTTCTTCAAGAAGGTTAAAAGAAAAGAATCTGAAATGAGAAGAAAAAAGGGCAAGGGAAAGAGATAGAAGAGAGAAAATGTTCCCACTAGAAATTTGGCAAATGTTCCACTTACTAATCAATATACCCGTGGAATTGACTTTAGCAGAGCGCAAGAGTCCCTGGAGTAGTACATATGCTGGCAAACCAATGCTAATAACTCTATTCCCTGTACCAGACTTGGCTTCTTCTATGTCTTCCAGAGTTATCAGACCTTCAGAAACCATTTTTTCTCCTACAAGGCCACATTCTTTGAATAAGCCATCCAACAGCTACACATGTCATGAACAATACATTTAGTACAGTCCCTGAAGAAATATGCTAAACATGAAAATCCAAGGAAAAAGGGTGATGTTTGAGTTAACCATATTACTACTAGAATACCTCAAGTGATTTCAACTCAACCATATTATTTTTTATTGAAGATGTGCGAGAAGGAGCCCTTCGCAAGGAGTTGGGTCTTGAGAAGGAATTTGAATGTGCAGTTCTCTGTGATGAATCAACCTTTTTTCGATATTGAGGCCTATTAGATATCAAATGTGTAAAAACACAAGAGAAAAGCATTAACTGCAAGTCACAGTGATAAATCATAGGAAGCAGAACAAAACCTAGGGAAGCAGGTTCCTTCTGGCATGTCGAGAATATCATTGCTGTATTCATCATAAAGGGACAAAGCTGCAATAACATACCGAAGGCCAAACATGAAAGAAGACTCCTGCATTTCACAGAACAAATAAAAACAGTTCATCTAAACCTGTGAGAGACAGATGATGGTTTCAGTATAACTTCAAGTTGTTTTAACATGGCATTACATACAATATTTGTTTTTAACAGGAACTTTTGAAGCGTTATTTGTACTCTGGATTTTAAAAAAATGCAATTGTCAGTTTTATTGTATGACCCATGAAAGGTGTAGACTACATGAGTGAGGTATTTAGCAGAAACATAGCACACATATTTAAGCACTTTCTGCTGGGAAAACATTACAGAGAAACCCATCCATGCATTGTCTGCCTTACCAAGCAGAGATGGCAGTAGTAATTTTTTCAATTGGATTATACGTCAAATACCATTTTCAAGTTCTATGTATCATATACTAAATAAAATAATATCTGTAAAAATATTTAGGTTGGAATGGCTAAAGCTAAACTGCTCAATGTTAACACCTGCCTTGTGGTAGAGTTGGACACCACGTCCTCAATATAGGCTGAGTTACATGAAAGGGCATAGGGAAAACCTAGTGCACAAGACTCCCCGATTTTGCAAGGGTAACTGTGAGGGTAGATTGAACGCAGCCCCACCTTTGTATTTTTGCAAAGGGGGTGTTTCATAGATTCAAACTCGTGACTTTCCAGATACAAAGGGACAACAACCTTACCGTTGCTCCAAGGCTCACCCTCTTCCCTCATCCTTTACATGTATAATCTAAATACTGCACAGAGTGCATTGCCCAAGATGAACTCCAACAATAAATATTCAAACTTATTTAGTTATTTGCGATCCTAATCCCCAATATTGCTTCCGCAATCTAGCATTGATCTGTGTCTTTTCAATAGCAATCAATCTAGAAAAGCATAGGAGCAGTCAAGTAAGACTACCAGTCTACCACCAAGCTGCTACGTATCTGTAATTGTCTAACCCAAGTATATCATAGTTGCCTATAATAACAGTACAAGTAGAGAGTGAAAAGACATGAGGAATGACCTGATAAACAACAACCCCTGCATAGGCACCAAGAAAGAAACTTGCTAAAGTGGATGCCAGGACTGCCCCAACAACAGCCAATGGCCACAAAAGGATAGCAAGACCTGCAAAAGGTACACATATTGTCTCCAAGAAAGGGCCCTCACGGCCAATGAGGTCATGAAACAATCGGTGCCACCCCTTAAAAAGCATGTAAGGGCTTTTGCATAGGGCAATGAATGATATAACTGGCACATCAACTATGATCCCAATAACTGCAGCTATAAAAGCACCAGGAAAATAAAGCAGCCTGCATCAAAACAGTGAAAAGAAACATCGTTAGATTTCAAAATAGATCATATAGCGCATAAAGAACACCATATTTGGTGTAAAATGAGCCATACATTTATCTAGCATTCCTTTTCACAGTCACATTTTGTTGTGATTTTTAGTTCCCAGAATCTAGCAATACAAAAAAAAGGAAAAAGACTTTCCAACTTTGTAAGGATAGGGGTGAGAGTCGATTGTATGCAGTCTTACCCTTACATTAATTTTGCAAAGAGATTATTTTCTAAACTCAAATCTGTGACCTTCTGGTCACAAATGAGAATCATACCACATGAATCCAGCAATACAAATCACTTATTTTACTTTTTAAGTACGGTTGAATAATCTCGTGTTATATATATCACAAATTAAATATACAACTAACACATACAGTAAATTCGAAAGAACGGTAGTTAAACAATTTAGTGTCACCTAATTCATCATATTGGTAAAAAAAGAATATACTTGGCAGAACAATCAACTGAGAGAATCATTTTGGTTTTAAAAATGTTAGAATATCAAAAAAACACTCATAATATTATTGCATCTTAGAATATCTTAAAGTATATTGGATGATCTCTTAGGAGTGATTTCCATATTTCATTATATATGATGACTTATTTCCTTATTCGATCGAGATTTGGAGTATAGTACTAGTATGATTCGAGGTTAGTAGTGGTATGGTATGACCCTTCCTATCAAGGTTTAAAATAGGAAGCGTCTTAGAGGATCATTGGGTCATGAGGTTGCTGACTCAGCCAAGTTTGTTAGAGGAGAGAGAGTAGAGGCTGATGTGGAAAGAGTTAGTTGAGGAGATTTTTGGTTAAATGAGAGAAGGGAGGGGCTGGAGAGGCACCTCTGGAAATGGGGACTTTTAGCTGGGAGAGATCAGCTCCTTTATAATTGTGTTGAATCTGTCTTCTTTTCTTCTTTTTCTGTTATGTAATTTGGGGGAGCTGGGTTGTAATCTGTCTTCCTCTGTAGTGTCATTTCATTTGGTATTTTCTAGTAATTCAACTCAGTAAAATACAGAAGATCTAGAAAGAGTTCTTTCTGGGCCCAAAATTCGTTTGTTCTTTTGTTTGACATCTTAATTACTGATCCAGTTCTATCATAGTACTTTGTGTTTTGTATCTGTTAGAGTTATATAAAACCATTAATATAATCTCACCCAATAGCTTAAGATTTTGGGTTGAATTCGTTCTTTACATAGTATCAGAGCCTCGATGTCACGGGTTCAATCCTCACTGTCCCCATTTAATTAATATCTCTTGTGGAGTTTCTTACCACAGGTAGGTTAGGCCTGATGCATCATCCACCCTTCAAATCCAATGGGCTCTCATGTGAGGAGACATGTTGGAGTTATATAAAACCATTAACCTTACCCAATAACTTAAGCTTTTGAGTTGAATTAGTTCTTTATAGTATCGTATCCTATTACATCATTATACATGAGAATATTATCATGTCCTAGCCGTTTGGCCTTTTTTCGGTACTCTAGCCACTTTTTGCCTTACTTTTTTGACAATTTATTGGTGTTCCAAGCTTGACCCATCCTAATTTGGTATTACCTAGTTTGGGTCCATTCCTTTTCGACCTTTTATGTTTAAGGTGTTCTTCCTCTAATCTGGTAAGTCCCAATGGGAGACTGCAATCTTGTCTCACAGTAATGGTTGTGGTTGTGGTGGTAACAGATGTTCTTTCTGTCATAAATTGTGACATTTTGAGGAACATTGGAGGGCTAAACATCACAAGACTACCTCCACTACTCTTGTTCACAATGAGCCAACATCTTCTGCTCTTACTGTGGCTATTTCGTATGCAGACCACGAAGTCTTCCTTCGCTTTAAGGACTCCTCACAAATTAGTAATCATATTCTTGCATCTCACAACCATCTCTTGGACCATGTGTAATTGACTCTAATGCTTCCAATCTTCTCTATGGTAATAAGGATCTTCTCACATCTCTTACATATTTGGTACAAAGATAGTTGTTTGAGGCATTGGACAAGTACAACCATATCCTTATTTACCTTTAACATCGATTCTTTATGTTCCTGGCCGCCCTTTTAATTTAATATCGATCAGTCAACTCATTTTTTCTCTTAATTGTTCCATTAACTACAATGCAAAATCTGTTCTTTTGCAAGATTAGAGTTGGTAGTGAGTTGCATGGCCTTTACTATCTTGCTATGCCTAGTTCCATGGCATGACAAAGTTTCCAGACCTAATTCACAACTATCTCAGAAATTTGGATTGTGAGTCTTATCAACAAGGAAAAGCACACATTCTTCCTTTGCTAGTTGTGATTGGTCATTCACTTATTTAGGGTTCGAATCAGGCTAGGTCTAGTTTGGGATTTATATATTATGTGACCTTTATAGACGATTTCTCTAGCTTCACTTGAGTTTTCTTGATGAAGAATTGCTCTAAGTTGTTCTCTATCTATCAGAATTTTTATGCTGAAGTTCGTAGACAATATAGAACCATTATTCATGTTTTGTGTATTGACAATGCGCGTAGCCAAACGTAAAAACCGACAAATCATTGGAACCACTATTCTTGACTCAACAAGGTACCTTACTTCACACTACTTGTCCTCATACTTCGCAACATAATTATGTAGCCAAATGTAAGAAACCAACACATAATTGAAACAACCAGAACTCTATTGCCCTTTCACAATCTCATCCTTCGGTCACTTATCGGCGATTCCCTTGACAACCCACCGATGCATATCCTGCCTCAGAAGATGCTCCTGGTGACTCATTGCCTTCACATGTCATTCCCTATGCCCCGACTCCTGCAACAAACAATCTATCCATTGCTATTTGCAAAAGTGACCGTAATGGCCAGATCAAGTGCAAAAACTAAGTATCGAGCAATGGGAACTGCAACTTGTGAGCTCATTTGGGTAAAGCGGTTGATTAATGATCTGAGCATCTGTGAGCAACGATCAATGAAGTTAATTTGTGACAATCAAGGGGCGTTACACTTATCCTCAAATTCAATCTTTCATGAAAGAACCAAGCATATTGAGATTGATTGCCATTTTGTGTGAGAGAATATTCAATCTAAGGAAACAGAAACAACTTTCGTTACTACTCATGATCAACTTGCAAATATTTCACCAAGGCTCTTGGAGGAGTGTTAACTACATTTGTGACAAGCTTAGTGCCTATGATACAAATGCACCTGCTTGAAGGGGAGTGTTAGAATGTATTTGTATAGGTTGTTTATATTATAGTACCATATTGTGTAAATAGAGCCCATGTCCATGTAATTTCCTATTATAAATATAGATCCTTGTGTAATTTGATTAGACACACAATTATCCAAACATCAAGGGTTCCAAATGTAGTCTGAGACAGTGTTTGTCATGTAGTCTCAAAAGCTCTGGCTCGGTCTTTGTCCCAATTGAAAGTTGAGCCAAATGGGTTGTCAAAGACACTCTGACTCTGTCATTGTCCTCAGATGTAGTCCTAGACGCTCTAGCCTTGTCTCCATTCCCAGGCATTATATCCTTGGCTTTGTCCTACATGCTTTGGCATTTCTTTGCCCAAAAAGCAATTTTGGCCCCGTATCAAATCCCAGATGCTACGACCCTTCTCTGGTCTCGAATGTTGTCACCTACCACTGCATTATAATTTTAGTTAGTTTTCTTAGTGTCTTTAACTGTAACAAACTTAAAGATTAGTAAGCTTTAACTTGAGGAAAAGTATTAGCATCTCATGATATTATTATTGTATCTTAGAATATCTTGAAATATCTTGGATGATTTCTTAAGAGTGGTTTCCATATTTCATTACTTTTCCTGATTGGTTTACATATTCAATTAGGATTAAGTCTAATATTATACTGGAATTTGAGGATCGTGTCAAGTATGACCACACAAAGGTTATATTTATAATAATATATATCGGTTTGGGCTCTACTTACATGATATAGGACAAACTAACACAACTTAATATATACATTGTTACGCTCCCCCTCAAGCTGGTGCACATATATTGTAGGCACCAAGCAAATATAGTCAACCTAAGGACCACAAGAGCCCTAGTGAAAATACCTACAAGCTAATCATTGAAGTTGACGAATGATGTCTCGATCTCGCAAGACTGAATCTTCTCTCGGATAAAATGACAATCATGTCAGACCAGATTGAAGGATATGTGTAACGCTGCTTCATTGTTACAAATTAATTTCATTGGTCATTGTTCATAAAGACTTAATTATTTGATCAATTGATTTAACCAGAAAAGCTCACATGTTGCAATTCGCATTATTTGATACTTAGCTCCTTCAACACATTAAAGCTCACATGTTGTAGAATCCTAGTGCTCCTTTGATTTATCGAAGAATTCTAACAACTACGTCCCAATGGGAATCACAAGAAGAGCAAGGAGTTGGCTGGCCACACTAACTAGGAAAGAAATATCTGGTATCGTCACAGTAATATAATTCAACTTCCCGACTAGTCTTTGATAATGGTCGAGATCTATAAGTGGCTCCACTTGTCCAAGTAAAAGCTTGACATTAGGATACATGGGTATATCGATGGGCTTGCACCCTAACATGCCAATTCCTTCTAGAATATCCAAGGCATACTTCCTTCGAGAGACTGAGATGACGTGTCTAGATTGAACCACCTCAATGCCTAAGAAATATCAGAGTTTGTCAAGATCTTTGGTTCGAAATTGACTGAACAAATACTATGTCAACTATTCAATCCCAACTAGATCGTTATCAGTGATGATAATGTCATCCATATAGACCAGCAGATAGATGCACTGATCAAAAAAACTATGACGATAGAAAACAGAGTGATCAGTTTCGCTATGAGCTAAGCCAGAAGCTTGAACAGCTGAACTAAAACAACTAAATCACGCCTAATGTGATTGTTTCATGCCATATAAGGATTTATGGAGTTTGCACACTAACCCAAACTTTCTTCAGCAACAAATCTAGGTGGTTATTCCATGT